AGGCACTCAATATAAGATGCAAAAAATGACCTTGTACCGAAATCACATGTACTATGTAATGTGAATAGTGTTGTTCACCGTGAAAGAGTATACCCATTGTTCTGTAAAATATATCTTTTAAAATACTTCTCTCCCTTTTTTCCTCCTGCAGCTGCAAATGTTTCAAGCCTCCCTCCTCCGTCCCAAAGGCTATCTCAGTTAAGGCGGCAAAAAAACGCACACGCAATGAAATGTTCTCTGAGCTTATGCAGGCGTCCCGCACTGAAAGAGCTCAGCAGAAAGTGTGGAAGGACACAATAGCACAGGACAGGAAAGCGGCCAGTGAACGTGAGGAGAGGTGGCAGCAGGAAGATCAGAGGAGGCAGGATGCAACGCTGGGGCTACTGCGGGAACAAACGGACATGATCCGGCGTCTGGTGGAGGTTCACGAATGTCAGCTGGAGAGACTGCCGCTGCAGCCCCTGTTTAACCACCCTCCCTCCTCCCCAAGTTCCATAGCCACCTCCTCACCCAGACACCCAAGAACGCGGGAAGGGAGGCTCCGGGCACCCAACCACTCCACCCCAGTGGACAGAAGGCTGTCATTCAACAAGTATTGAAGTGGCCTTTTCCTTCCCTCCTCCCCCATCCCACCCAGGCTACCTTGTGAGGTATCTCCCTATTTTTATAATCAATTAATAAAGAATACATGGTTTTTAAACAATAGTGACTTTATTTCCAAGCTGTGATCGAAGGTGGGAGGGCGGTTGGCTTACAGGGAATTAGAGTCAACCAAGGGGGCAGGTTTTCATCAAGGAGAAACAAATAGAACTGTCACACGGTACCTTGGCCAGTCATGAAACTGGTTTTCAAAGCTTCTCTGATGTGCAGCGCCTCCTGATGTGCTCTTCTAATTGCCCTGGTGTCTGGCTGCGCATAATCAGTGGCCAGGCGATTTGCCTCAACCTCCCACCCCACCATAAACGTCTCCCCCTTACTCTCACAGAGATTGTGGAGCACACAGCAAGCAGCAATAACAATGGGGATATTGGTTTTGCTGAGGTCTGAGCGAGTCAGTAAACTGCACCAGAGACCCTTCAAACGTCCAAATGCACACTCTACCACCATTTTGCACCTGCTCAGCCTATAGTTGAACAGCTCCTTACTACTGTTCAGGGTGCCTGTGTACGGCTTCATGAGCCAGGGCATTAAGGGGTAGGCTGGGTCCCCAAGGATAACTATAGGCATTTCAACATCCCCAACAGTTATTTTCTGGTCTGGGAAGTAAATCCCTTCCTGCAGCCATTTAAACAGACCAGAGTTCCTGAAGACGTGAGCGTCATGAACCTTCCCCGGCCATCCCACGTTGATGTTGGTGAAACGTCCCTTGTGATCCATCAGTGCTTGCAGCACCATTGAAAAGTACCCCTTGCGGTTTATGTACTGGCTGCCTTGGTGGTCCAGTCCCAAGATAGGGATATGGGTTCCGTCTATCGCCCCACCACAGTTAGGGAATCCCATTGCAGCAAAGCCATCTACTATGACCTGCACATTTCCCAGAGTCACTACCTTTGATAGCAGCAGCTCAGTAATTGCGTTGGCTACTTGCATGACAGCAACCCCCACTGTAGATTTGCCCACTCCAAATTGATTCCTGACTGACTGGTAGCTGTCTGGCGTTGCAAGCCTCCAGAGAGCTATCTCCACTCGCTTGTGAACTGTGAGGGCTGCTCTCATCTTGGTAGGTATTCTTGCGGTTCAGGGCAGGGGAAAGCAAGTCACAAAGTTCCATGAAAGTGTCCTTACGCATGCGAAAGTTTCGGAGCCACTGGGAATCATCCCAGACCTGCAACACTATGCGATCCCACCAGTCTGTGCTTGTTTCCCGGGCTCAGAATTGGCATTCCACAGCATGAACCTGCCCCATTAACACCATGATGTCCACATTGCTTGGGCCCGCGCTTTGAGAAAAGTCTGTGTCCATGTCCTCATCACTCTCGTCACCATGCTGCCGTCGCCTCCTCGCCTGGTTTTTCAGCTTCTGGTTCTGCATAAACTGCATGATAATGCACGAGGTGTTTACAATGCTCATAACTGCTGCGGTGAGCTGAACGGGCTCCATGCTTGCCGTGCTATGGCGTCTGCTCGGGCAATCCAGGGAAAAGGGCGCGAAATGATTGTCTGCCGTTGCTTTCACGGAGGAAGGGTTGACTGACAACATTTACCCATAACCACCCGCGACAAATTTTCGGCCCCATCAGGCATTGGGAGCTCAACCCAGAATTCCAGTGAGCAGCGGGAACTGTGGGATAGCTACCACTGTGCACCGCTCGGAATGTCAGTGCTTGCCACGGTACTATGGACGCACACCGCCGAATTAATGTGCTTAGTGTGGACGCATGCACTCGACTTTATACAATCTGTTCCCAAAAATTGATTTCTGTAAAATGGGAGTAATTTTGTAGTGTAGACATACCCTAAGACAGGTCTATACCTGGTGCATGGTAGTGGTACAGTTGGGCTTGCTGATGCATTTGTGAGATCAAGCCAAGGCTGAGTCTATTCTCCACCAACATGCACAGGATAGGGATGTGGCGGCACCAGGGAGGCTGCTCTCCCACCCATGCAGATACCCACAGAGGTGGGAGAATGTTTTGGCAATATGTAAGTAACTCCATTGATTTCTGGAGCTACTCAGCTTGAGTAAGGGTGCCAGGAACAGGCCCTTTGAAAGGGGAAAAAAAATAGCTGTGAAGTTATAAAAGAGGTGGAGTATTATACAAAAATAACTTTGTCCTTGTAATCTTAATCAAGTTCCTATTCACATTAGATCTGTTTCCTCCCACCAAATATTATATCCCTTTTGTATTTTTGTTACTCTATTTTATTACAAGATCCTGTGAACATTATCAGTGGCAGTACTACTTAAGGGGCACAGCCCAGTGACAGCAATAGATTTCTGACTGATAGTAAGCACTATACCTGGTTGTAATGGTATGCAGGATCAGATCCTTATGCACTATAGTATAATAACTTTGATCTTATATTAATTTTAGTTAATAAAAACAGACAAGGGAATACAATAAAAAATGTAATCTTTATTATTTTGGCGCATTAATAATGTTGTTTAGCATCAGTTAGGGTAATAGCATCTTCCTGCATGCAGTTCACTAATACAGTATAAGTCAATAGTTTTAATAAAAGAAGTCTATATGTAATTTTCCTGTGTAAGAAACATAAAATGTCCTGATGTGTTTGATTATACAATTTTGCTACTTAGTTTTTGTGAAAAAATATTGTGGACCCAGATTATATTAATAGTAGTTCTAATGCAGCATGAATCAAAAAGAATATATGTAAATAAACCCTGGAAAAGATAAAGGATTCTGTGAAGGAAAAAGGATATTTTAAAATTCTGATGCAGGCACTGCTAGAAATTCAAATAAAACTTTGCATCCTTTTCCAAAGCAAAAAATATAGCCTTTTGTAATAAAGCAAATTGTGCACTTCTTTTGCAGAAATTATCAAATTATTTCAAATGGAAATGTTTTCAAATATAGTAAAAAAGCAGAAACCTACAACTACCCATTCTTGTCTTCATTTCTTATTTTCTGAAGTTCTTCCATGAAAAAGTGCTGTGGTCAGAAAGTAATAAAAATGGCTGTGACATCAACCTGAAGATAAAATTCATTTCTTATATTATATACATAATGCTGAAAAATAAAATAAAATGGTTTTTTTTACAATATTTATATTTGCTTATAAAATTCTAACCACATTTTCAACAGGTTTAGCAGTTTGCAACACATCTGTACAGTTTTGCTATACACCATATGTTTTCACTTAAGATTTAAAAATTTAAAACAAAAAAGCTCTTAAATTAGGTGCAAACTATTGCTTAATGATGTGAAGAAATGAGGTCTTGTTGAACAATTTGTTTCTCTTTACCTCTGATGTATGGCTTCCCATAATTAAGAATTCTGGACTGTTGAAAGAACAGCAGCACAGGCAGTATAAACATGCATTGATAGCATCCAAACTATCTATAATGGTAGAGAATACATACTTTTACCTGTTGAAAGCTTGCACACTACACTTATTGTGGTACATATTTGATGCAATAAATGTGCTCATGTCATTATTTGGTTGCTCAAACATGCACCACAGGGTAAAATTACTATTTACATAACAGAGGGCTTTTCATTAACATATACAATGTCAACCTTACTGAGAGCTGAAGATGGCCAAACAATACTGCAGGATAAAGCAGAACAATTTTATAAAGGGTTCGTTTTGGTCAATTCTGTTTTATAGGGCAGATTCTTTTAATATTTTTATACAGAAAACCATTTGACAAAGACATAAAACCTTGGACTCCAGACCTTACAATGAAGTTTGCACTTGCTGAGATTTAATGGTCTGTGTAAAAATAATCCATCTGTTCTGTTCCTGTGGATTATAGAGAACTTTACAGGCATATAAAGACTCGTCTGATGTGACACAACATGAATACATTAATTAAGCACCTCAGAATTTATTACTCCCTCCCAGAAACACAGAGTAGTTAAAAATCTGTTGTTCTCTGTGACTTAATGTTTTTTCATGCATGATCTATAAGTGCAGCATGCCTTCATGCAAATAATTTCTGTGTGTATATTAGAGAGTCATATTATAGAACACCTGGTCCTCATACCTGTAAAGTAATACTTAACCCCTTCCCCAACATAAACCCCATTTACAAAAATAGTTACATATAATAAACATATGATTAAAAAAAAAGATGAATCCACCAACACAGATTTTGTAAAAATATGACAAATGTGGCAGTTGAAATGCAAACAGTGGATACAGTTACTGTATTGTTTTATGCTAAACACACAAAAATTTATTGGTTTTCACCCCTTTAACTGGTCCCTACAGTCTGAGTAGCCATTTTTTCTCTCCTCTTCAGCAGTGTCAGCTGGTAGTGAAAATAGTAACCTCCAGTCAAGGTTATTTCCCCATATTATAGTCACAGTTTACTGACAAGGGGTCACTGTCTTGTTATAGGCACTGACCTTATGTATACAGTATATTTTTAAAAACTGTCTGTTTGGCATAGACCTCCTACAGGAGTCCTGTGGACACAAACACATCACCTTCACAGGCTGTAAACAACTTTTCAGACAAACAGAATTGTTTCCTTGCATTTTATTTTTCCTTCTTTCTGACATCTTTGTCTTCCTTTTCATGTTTTTCTTTTACTAGCTTTGTTACACAATCATAGGAAGGTGGACAAACTGCTGTTGAGGTGGTCATGTCTGTTTTCTCTGTAAATGAATTTTCATTTAACTTGTCAATAAGAATTTCATCTTTGATACATTGACCAATCCCTCCTTGGATTTTATTTTTGTTGTATGCAAATGAAGCCTGTTTTACTGTTCGTTTTAAAAGGTAACGTCTGAAAGCATGCTGAATAATGACAGCAGATGCCTCCTCTTGTTTTCGTTTTAATGTGGTTGTAATTGGTTCATAGGAGGCTTTTGAGGGATTGGATGCCATAAACCGGTCTTCCATTTGTATTCGAAGTGCATCCATCTCTCCACTTTCCCCCAAAACACGCTTTGTAAAAGCAAACAAGATGTCAAGGCAGTGAATTCTGTCACCACTCACCATGGGCAGATCCATTGCAATAAGCTGAACTTTGTTTGGTTTTGGTAAATGAAGAGGAGGATCAAGTGCAGCTGCAAAATCAGACAGTTTTGCAAATTCCATGAACTGGGTTGCATCTGGATCATATTTTTCCCAAACCTCATAGAACATCTCAAAATCGTCCTCGCTCAAGGGCTCGGCACTTTCTTCTGTAGCAACACTGAAGTTCTCCAAAATAACAGCAATATACATGTTTACTACAACTAGAAATGAGATGATAATATAACTGACAAAAAAGAAAATCCCAACTGAAGGGTTACCACAGTCTCCTTTAACAGAGCTTCCTGGGTGAGGTTTATTAGGATCACAGTCTGGTTCTCCACTGTTAAGAATTGGTGCTAACAAGCCATCCCAACCAGCTGACGTGGTAATCTGAAATAGGCAGATCATGCTGTTGCCAAAAGTTTCAAAGTTGAACATGTCATCAATCCCAGCTTCCCTCTTAACATAGGCAAAGTTGGACATTCCAAATATAGCATAGATAAACATGACCAGGAAAAGCAGGAGACCAATGTTAAACAAAGCAGGAAGAGACATCATCAAAGCAAAAAGCAGAGTGCGGATCCCTTTAGCTCCCTTAATGAGACGCAGGATTCGACCTATTCTGGCGAGTCGGATAACTCTGAACAAGGTGGGGGACACAAAATATTTTTCGATCACCTTTGCTAGAAACATACCTGTAAAAACAAAACAGCTAGTAAGTAAGGGGCAGCAATTTAATCTTTCTGTACTACAGTATCAGAATGATGGAGGATTGCAAAGACTTCCAAATCATTCAGTCATGTTTTATATGATTACTAACGTTTCATATGTCAAGTAAATGTACTGTATAGGTTCTACTTTAATTTTTAATATATCTTATGTAAAAGAGATCTGATAGTTCAAGAGTGGATAATGTGTAATTTCTGACACTGAGAATGGCAATAGAAGAAGTTCTTATCAATTCTCTCATACAAATTATTCCTAATATAGTCAGATACTGTGGTGATGGCTGAATATAAGAATTTTGATGATTACTCTAGATAAAGTTACGGGAAATGAAAAGCTAAACAACTTAATTGTAAGCATTGTAATAGCAAAAGCCAAACATGAAGCACCTCAAGTAAATTGTCATCGTCCACTCATTTTAGCCTCTTTTTAATTTAACAAATAATTCTTACCTACTATGGAGAGAATGACAACCACAAAATCAAAAATGTTCCAGCCTATGGTGAAGTAGTAATAACGGAGTGAAATCAGTTTCAGAACACATTCTCCAGTGAAAAGGACAATAAACACCAGGTTAATCCGCTGTAAAATAATTTGCATCTCGTCACTCTGATCATCTGTTTCTATCATCATGGTGACCATGTTAAGGCAGATAAGAATCATGATGCCGATATCAAATACTTGTTTTGTCACAAAATCAAATACCATGCCTTGGAATTTGTTCTGGAGGGGGGAAAAAAGAACCATTCAATTCACACTTTACAATTATTATTCTATTCTATATTATACTGGAAGAAGGTAAGAAAATATCTTAATAACACACTGTATAGAACTTCAGTAAAAGGGCAGCCTTGTCAAATTAATAATACAAATATTAGAGCTTAATTCAGCTCCCTTGCATGTACATGTTGTGATAGTCTTGCCCAGCATCACACAGCAAGTTTGAAGCAGAGCTGAAAGAGTTCAGCTCTAGTGGGTCCCAATTTACAACCTTAAACACCCTTTCACTTTCTGATACCCTCTCTCTCATTCACTGTCCGTTCTGTGCACTGAATGAGGCAGGGGTCGTGTAGAAAGAATAGACTGTGATCATGTAATTAAAGACTGTACCTAATGCATATCCACAAGGGGAGGGGAATTAAGGTTGCATGATTCTGGCGATTTTGATTCTGGCATGTCTTAATTTTTGAGTGGTTGACTTTGCAACTTTAGCATTCTTTCTAATATTAGAGTTCTTCCAAAAAATTATTGGACAAATTATTTAATGTTGGTAAAACTTCTTGTCCCCCCCCCAACTCTGGAAATTGCATGGGCCGTTTTTGCTGACATTTTCCAGAAAAAATCAGCCCGAGGTAAGGAGCAAGCATGAGAATTTTTAACCCAAATGATAAAAGTTTGGCAAAGTTATAAGCAATTGAAATTAGGGAATTACAATGGGAAGTGTTAGGTAACTTTAACTATAGGTGTTTCCACAAGCTCCACCTATTACATGTTAAAATATAATAGGATTTTCAAAGGATCCTAAAAGACTTAGACAACCAACTCCAATTGAATTTTGATAGGACTTGGGCATCTAAATCCCTCATGCTTCTTTGAAAATCCCAGCCTTAATATATACATGTTCTTTACTGCTGAGTAAACTGACAGATTTTTCTTCTTAGAACTGTTACAATGAAAGCAGACAGTATGGCAATGATTTATTATCATTATTATTATTCACAGGAAAGGGGCATACAATAGAGTTCAGATTCCTGGATCTTTTCCTCTTTACATATTAAAAAAAGAAAAATATGGTAGCAGAGGGAAAAGGTACTTTCTTTCTTTAATGTGTTTAAATTTTTCACTTTTGGTTACCTTAATGATAACTTGTACATGAGCCTTTTATAGATCAAATATCTAGTCTTTATACAAATGTGAACTCTAAATAAACTGCTTACAAGCTAATATTTCTTCTTTTCTTTTAAATTGACCTTTTAGTCTGGACAGATTAAAGTAAATCATTCTTACCCCTGGCCTAGGTATAGGTTTTTGTGGTTTCTTGGATCCCAGCTTTTTCATTGCATTGTAGTATTTCTTCTGTTCTTCTGTCATAAAGATGTCTTGACCTCCAAAGTAAGGAAATGAAATCAAAACTGGTTACAACCATATTTACATGAATAATCTTTCAAAACTTTATTCACATTCAAAAGAGAAAAGGGATTACAAGGAAAATAAGTGTCTCTTATAATCTTATATTTTATTGTGGAGACATTATAAATACATCCTCACTAGGAGATCAAAGGAGACATATTACTATCAGCTACTTTTTCATTGGCTCTCTGCAGAGTTAAATACTGACATGCATTAAAGGCATCAAGTAACAGAGTCTAATGAACTATTAAGCTCATGAGGTTTTAGTTTCAGGTTCCAGTGTATCAAGACAAGGCACTAACATCCTGTCAATATTAGGTAGGCTATCAAATTCAAGCACTTCCACACAAATGAATGAGTAAAACGTCCAACCTCTTTCAGGGTCAAGGCACATTGAACAAGAAGTTTAGCCACCTTTTGTGCACAAAGGGGTGAAGCAAAGGCTGTGGGCATTTGTAATGTTGCTATCGGGCCCAGTCCTCACTCTTCTGTAACCCATTCTGATGTGGGCCTGATTTTCTCAAACAATGGGGATTTTTCTTTACAAGCAGTCATTCAATGTATATTATCTACTGCTTGCAATATTCTCATGCAGTTCTGGATATCTTTATTGTTTAATAAGGAAGGGAGAAAGGACAAGAGACAATTACTTACCACTATTTTTGTCAGTTTTACTCTTCCCTGCACCCTACTTCCCTCACCCTTCTTAAAACTAGACTTCCTTGTTTCCTCATAGATTGTACAATAATGCTTACAGATCTGGATGTTCCTACTGTAGGATGAAGGAAGAGAAGGACTCTGACACAAGCAATTATAGGTAAAGAGAGGAGACTCGCCAGAAACTGTAGTTCTTTGAGGAATACCTCTGCATATCCACAGTCATGAGATTCAAAGTACCTGCACCATGGTGATCCAGAACCTTCTGAAAAACTTTGCCACTGCATCCCCAATGTTCATGGCCCAAAGTTATGTAAGAGAGGTGTGACCCTCAATCACATCTGGTCACAGTCCAAGATGGATAGGAAACTGAGGAAGAGGGGAAGTTGAGTAGGGAGTTAGAATATTCAGAGACGTCCCTCAAAGAACTACAGCTACTGGTAAGTAATCCCTCTTTCTTCTTCAGGGAACCTGTGCATAATTCCACTCGCTGGTGGCTGGTAAGCTCAGTGTAGCTGAGATGACTGATGGGCTGAGGAATTCTCAAATAAAAAAGATGGTAAAGCAGCTCTGCGAAACCTGGCATCAAACTGTGAAGCTAAATCTAGAACTATAGTAATGTTGAGTGAATATATGTATTGAGTTCCAGCTGGCCACCTTTCAGATCTCCACTTCTGCCTGTTTCAGAGCAAGGGACTTGAATATACGTCTACCACACCCTCCAATGAGCGCCATAGGCACCATGCTATAGGCTATTTTGGCATGGGCCTCTCTCAATCTCTCCTGTTGGAGCTGTTCCATTTGTATAAATAATTAAATAACACTGGGCAAGAGAGAGTGAGAAATAGACTCTATAGCCTGGTGATTAGGGCACTCATCTGGGATGTGGGAGATGCAGAGACATGAACCTGGGGTGAGTTTCTCTCTAACCAGAAAAATTAATCCTGGAACTGAGAAACCTTGATGAAAACACATTTAGCCAAAAAAATCCTGACCAGCTCGAGTTCTACTGCATCTAGGACCTACTTGTCCACCGGCTGGAAGTGGGGAATGTGGTAGAGTTGGTTCTTTGCTCCTGACATACATATCAAAATTGGGGAGAAAGAGGAGTGACAAGAAGCGTGTCTCCCAAACACAGAACCTTTGCCTCACAGATCTGTTTTTTGGGTGCCTGTTAGTGTTTGCACGCACTGCCACAGTCCCCCTCTAGCAGCAGAGAATGGTGTTGCACAGGACTTCACGTCTAACACCCCCTGTTGACCACTTCCTTGGCTCTATGCTGGCCTGTCTCTGTCTGGGTCTTCCATGGCCCAGCTTTTCAGCCAGATCACCTCCTAAGTTCAGTCGCTTATGGGTAACAAAAGTCCAACTGTAAATCCAAATAAATATCCAAACCAATTTCTTCTGCCCCTCTTGGGCTACACTGAAGTTTTGTGCTCTTTGTCCTTACTCCTGGGCCCTGCTGAGTTCCTCTATGCTGTTTCCTCCCAGCAGGTTTCCCACTGCCTCCCCTCCATAAGGACTCTGTGCTCTTCCCTCAGAGATCTCCATGCTTCTTACAGGCCCTATCACAGGAACCTGTCCTACTCCCTGTGGTTTTCTCCATCCTGCCTTCAGCAGGTCTCCTCTTCCCTGGGTCTCCTTCCCCATGACTGAGTACTCTTCCCTATATAGTTTTCCCTGATGGGTAGGCCTTTTGTCTGATGTCCATTGAAGGGGAAGAAATGGTCTTCGGGGACATACAAATCCCAAAATGGGAGGCGGAATTAGCAGTAGGAAGGAGTCAGGGTAACTGAATGAACCAAGTCTGCCTCTTCTGAGATTTCTTGGAAGAGGAGAAGCCATCTTGGAAAGGAGCCCAAGGAAACAACATTGGTAAGGCAAAGACTATATCAGCAGGAGATGCTGATGGTGTCTTTGGCACCAGAGAGGAGAGGTTGAAGTTGGATCCAGAGGAGTCAATGCCCAATTGGTGCTCTTCCAAGATAAGTACTACTACTGCTTTTTTCTATGGTGCTTTCCCCTTAATGCTGGGAGATCTTTTTCAGCACACTTGCTCTTCTTCCTATGTTTCCAGGGAGCTAGAGAGAAAAAAAATTGGCATCCGACATGAAATCAAAAATTCAGTTCTGTTCAGTGAAGGCATTTCTTATGGCACTCCTGAAATGTCAACAGCACCCAGGATGTAGATAACATCAAGGTATCAGCACCAGAATTTTCCAGTGTCTTTCAGATATCGGTACTGGAGTGAAAACTATTTTCTGACTTAGGTAACAAAATACTGGCACTGGGACCCCAAGGTCTTTGAGGGCCTTGAAAAAGATGAGTCCTTCAATTGTGATTGTTCAGACCTGGAAGAGACTGACTGGAGCTGAAGATCGTGGTTTTAATGCTGTCAGCACTGAAGTGGGCCTCTTTTAACTCCTATGTCCTGTCTGGCTTTTATTTAGACATTGTAGTGGAGTCCTTATTAGGCAGAGTCAAGATTGGCTTCAGGAGGCTAGTGGTGGAGAGGTTGGGAGTTGAAGACAGCCATTGTGGGCCATTCATTGTGTGCCAGCCAGAATCCACTGCTCTCTCTGACAGCCTTACTCAAAGGGCTTGAGGAATAAAAACCTATCAGACTTTACATCTCTTGGGAGATGAGTTTCCTCCAGACAAAAGAGGTAGCATGTGCGTGCATCGTATTTCAGGAATATCCCTGAACTGCAGGCACACCTCTTGAAACTCTTCTTCAGGTCTGCCATTGTCAGCACTGACCCAAGCAAAGTGAGAGAATGCACTGAGGTAAAATGAAATATTAGATTTTTAACTGAAAAGGGAATGATTTGGTAATATATATATTTAGCTAGCTAAGACTAACAGATACTAAGGGCTTATCTACACAAACAGTTATTGCGCAGTAAGCTGAAGTGTAAATCTACAGCACACTAGCATGCCATGCAATTAGGGTCCAGGTGGACCCTGCTACCATGCATTAAAAGTTCCCTACTGTACTCCAGTGCACACTAGGGAACTGTCAGTATGTGGTAGGAGGGTCCACATGGACATTTAGTGCACAGCACGCTTGTGTGCTGTAAATTCACACCCCAGCTTCCCACACACTAAATGTTCACATAGACAAAACTATAAGAAGGGGTTTTAAAAAAGAACATCCAACAGTCAGGCAGACCTGGCACAACAGTGAGATTCCTCACATCCATAACAGACCATAGTCAGAAAGGAATTGAGGCAGGTGCAGCTCACACCTTCCTAATAACGGTCTAAGACACCAAAGGCAAGATTCACAGAGGCACTTAGGTGGGATGATGCTGAGTGTTGCCACGCATAACTTTTAGGTGTCTAGAAAATCACTGGAATTCACAAAGCCTGAGTTCAGCACTTAGGTTCTCTGCACAACGAATGGGGAGAGAGAGGCACCTCAGAATGGGATTCACAAAAAGGCAGCATTGTTGGGCGGTTCCTCACCTAAAATAGCCAGTGGGAGATGCCAAGCTGAGGGGGCCTGTGCTAAGCCCTGCCTCTCTCTTGGAGATAGGTGCCTAAAATTGGGCTACAGGGAGGTACCTCCCTCTGCTTGGGATTCTCAGCTGCAAACCCTCTCTTTATGTTAGGCACCTATGCCATTTGAGCAAGAAGCTGGGAGAGGAGAATGTCCCTCATAACTTTTAGTGCAGTGGTTAGGGTACTCAGCTGGGATGTGGGAGACCCCCAGTTCAAGTCCCCCTCCACTTGATGGGGAGAAGGGATTTGAACTGGGATTCTGATGTGTGGGGCTCCCACAGTCTGTCCCTTTCAACCTGTTATACTTTGGATAAATAATTAAAGAATCATTGGGCCAGAGAGAGAGCGAGAGAGCATGAGAATGACGCTGTAGCCTGGTGGTTAGAGCACTCACCACGGAAGCAGAAGAGCTAGGATCCACTCCATCTGTGCCAAACAACTTTTAAAGATTATTTATCCACAGTGGGATAGCTTGAAAAGGAGAGAATGACGGAGCCCCACATCAGAGTATCCCAAAGCCCAGTGGCCTATGGCAGATCACAGTTCAAATCTCTTCTGCTGATCCCATATGTGGTGGGGAGGGGGAAGACTTGAACTGTGGGTCTGACATATCCCAGGTGACTAACAACCACTGGGCTAAAAGTTATAAGAGCAGTCCTCCCTCTCTCCCTCTCCCCCATCATTTTGTGTAAGCCCACCTATAGGGGCCTGATCCGGTAGGTGAGCTCTGAACACATTTACTGGATTGATCCCTGCAGGCAAGTTCGGTGCAGGAATGCCTATCTTCTCCTGGTTCATGCATTGTTCTGTGGCTTAGGCATCCAGACACCTGGCATGGGGCTGCAGTACGCAACAACATAGAGGCCTAGAGAACTTTTACTGTAAAAATCCAAGCAAGTTTAGGTGCCTACAAGTTTGGCAGCAGCTGAGCAGGTTTTGTGAATCCCAGTGGGGCCTGGTGCTGGGATTTATGCACTAAAGTGGCAGTTAGGTGCCTATGTCATTCTGTGAATCTATCCCCAAGTGTTCAGTGTTGTCATAGCTTTATAGAAGGTTCAGGATCACTGAGGCATTAGTGGAAGTATGCAGAGAGGCCACAAAGAAGTAATGTACTGTGTTTTGCATGAACTGATAGCTCAAAATAGCCCAAAAGATTATCTTTGCACTTTTATAATAATCACCTTCAGATTGAGAAGGGCCAGAATTTTCAGCCAAAAAGGAAAAATAAAAAAACCCCAGAGAAAATAATAAGTGCTTGCATAGAGTGGCCTAGAATCAATAGTGCAACCACATAAAGAGTTTGTAGGAAGTGGCCAGGAGTGAGAATGTATTAGTCCTCCACTTACATTGAAAGGAATATCCACAGGACACTAAATAACTTGGGGATGCGGGGAAGGGAAAGGATGTGTTCCACTCATCACCCGGACTACTATGAAGCTATAGCATATTGTATCTTGTACTGTATCTTTTATATAATAATGCTTTTCAATTGTTTCAATCAGAATAAATGCTTGGGACAATCATTCCACATTTTTTATGACTTCAAAAAAGCAATGTCTTATATTGTCTTTAGGACAGAGAGGAGACACTTTAATACTTATCTTCTTTTTTTGCTGGTTGAAGTTATCAATGATAACACCAATAAACAAATTCAGGGTGAAAAACGATCCAAAAATGATAAAGATGACAAAATAGAGATACATGTATAGGTTGCCTTCATATTCAGGTTGATCCAGTACCTACAAAACAAGTTTTGCAACAACAACAACAACAAAAATCAGCACTAATATTCCATGTCAACAATTCATTGAAAAATCAGCAACTCATAACATAAAGATCCAAAATACTTCTGTCCTGGGATAGTACCTTAGCACTCTTACTATTTAATATATTTTTGCCCTGCACCTATTGAAATCAATGGGAATTTTGCTATCAGTTTACAATAATTCATACTTAGCAGAATTTTTGCCATGCTCACTCACTCATTTTTGTTAAACTTAGAACTCAGAGTCTATACAAGGAAAAGAAGACTTTAGAACATATATTGTACTTACAGCTCTTGAATCAACAGCTGCATACATAATATCCATCCATCCTTTAAATGTAGCCTGTAAATGAGACACATGTTTGATATCTGTGTAAAAATATTGGTTCATGAAAATAGCTAGAGTCCAACATTTTATATAACTGTTTTCATCAACTGAATACAGTACCAGGAATCTTTATATCACATTTAAATCATTGGTCTAATATAAGATTTATAGTTCAAGTTAATCTCTTGGCTTTCTTTAGAACTGCTTATCATATCACTACTTATCAAATACACCACCATTATATCTGTATATGAGCAGTGGCATAGTAAGCAATTAGTATAACCATGAAATCATACATTTATAATTCCTAATCATCTACTGCAAATTATAGTGTATGGTATCCATTTTAATGGAATAAATGCTTAGCAAATTCAGATGAGCAGATATAATGGCTACATACAACTGAGAAATACTAAGAAATAGCCTTCTTCTGTGACTTGGTTGCCACCAGCAAGGACCAATGAATAGTCCCTCATTATCATGTCAGTCAGGAAAGTGGCAACCAGTAGGAACCAAGCATATTTAAGCCCTCCAACAAGGTAAGTCTTTCCCTAACTCTCATTCCCAGTTTGATTACTGCTTTGTCGATGGTCAAAATCGTTCTCTCTGGTTTAGTGATTTTGTTTTTACTATAGTTATATTTTAGCATATATTAAAACATGTTAGGTCTCTCATATATGTTCTTTATTGGGAAGCTACTGGAGGAAGAGAATATTGAACAGAAGATATGCACTCTATGTGGCAAAGACTAAAGATGCACCATCTGTGGTAGCATTCTACGGACTTCTACAGCTGCTTCCTTCTGAGCATAAACCCTAACAGAGAGATGAAGACAGTAAGAGGAAGGACATCTCCAAGTAAGAATCAACATACTGAGATTTAATCCAAACACGCCTAGAGAGAAATGGAGGATTCAAGTAGTTCTGTAGTCTTTTTATGCCACCCATCATCATCTGCCGGAAAAAAAATGCAGGCACAGATCCCAGCCCAGAATAGGGAACCCCCTCTTTCATGATTATTGCTACCTCATTAGTTTCTTGACACCTAGTTAGTAGTGGGGTTATTGGAAAAACAAACTCTGCCCATGGAGCATATAAAGTGCAATACAGTTAGCAGCATCAGGAAATAGACCAATCAAAAGTGACTAAAGTACTGAAGAGACAAAGTGGGACCATTCATGATTAAAACAAAAAACAGTCCTGAAGCAGCATAGTTTTTAGACATGTAGGGTTGCCCTCAGGTGTATGTCTGGGAGGAGCAAGTTTTATACCTTAGGGGCCACCACAGTAAAGATTAGATCATGCTGACAATTTATGGCATGATTGTAAACAGGGCCGGCTCTAGGCACCAGCAAACCAAGCACATGCTTGGGGTGGCAGAATTCCAGGGGTAGCATTCCGGGTTGTTGTGTTGTTTTGTTTTTTTGCTTCGGCAGTTACGCTCTCAGAGGTGGGGTTTTTTTTTTTTTTTGCTTTTTTTGTGTGCCTGGGGCGGCAAAAAACCTAGAGCCGGCCCTGATGGTAAAACCCCTAAAAGATCGTGTTAGAGTGCAGGTACCCATGAACATGACTGAAGTCTCAGAAATGGCCAGAGATTTTGAAGCCAACATAACCATTTGAAAATCAGATCTGCCATCTTACACACTGGTGGAAAAATGCAGTGTGTCCATAATATGATCCCATCTGCTCCATCTGTTAAGCAGGCATACCTTTGAATTATGTACATGCTGGAAGTGGTGGAGGAGCCCTTCTGGACGGTGTGTTTTATTTTCTCTGATCCAAACACACACCACCTGAATCCTCATAAATGGTCTCCCAGACAGACTGGAATTATTTTTAATTATGTATGCATTTATATTATAATGAATATATTCATATTAACATAGATTAACCCCCAATAAATAGATACAAAGAAAAAGAAAAAATGCAGATCTCCAACCACATCTGAGACAAGGGGAAAGAACTGAGGAACTCTCAAAGCCCACATAGTTAATTATTATTACATAAAAGAGCAACTTAAAAAAGAGAGGATGTGTAGAAGCTTCAAGGGGTGAGGATGGAGAAGCACTAACTATTAAATGCTACTTAATTGTAGTATCTTTAAAAAGAGCTGAAATAGAATCTGTATTCACTACACTATCACAATTTCACAAAGTCATATATAGAACATTACTGCTCCCAACAAGTGAAGAAAAAAACCCAGAAAAACAAATCAGAATTCCCAAGTAAAAAAATTAGGGAGAATGGGTTATGAACTGATACCTCGCTGGAATCCAATATGCTCCCTCACTGTAGTGGTTGGTTTCCTTTTGAATCCCTCAAGTGAGTCATCAGGAAACAATGAATACAATCATCATCGTAAAAAAATATTTATGTTAATTGATACTATGGGGTGAACAAACCCCCTTCCATCATTTCCCAAACTGGAAAGTTCACTTAAGTTACAGAAATCTTTTTCTTCAGGTCTGTGTTGCTCTGGAATAGTAGAATACATGTAGAGGAAATTCAGCACTAAGGTGCTGAAGTTAGTAAATGGATACAGCTCCTACTGAGGTCGATGCCAGCTTATGTTAGACTTGAATTTGGCCTATAACGTTTTCCTCAAGAGAAGTAAAGCTTTACTTACATATTTCCAAAATTACTGTCTTTATCCCTACTGAATAAAATCAGAGTACAGGAGTCCAGAAATTTATCTCAGTTACACTGATGTAACTTGGCGTAGCTCCAATGATTTCTCATTCACACTGATTTAAATCTGGAATAACTCCACTGATTTGAAAGTGGTTACTTTAGATTACACGAGTGTAGCTGAGATCAGAATCTGACCCAAACCATTCTGGCCAAAGAACCCAGATAAGCCTAAGTATAAATTTGAATGGAATTAAAAAAAACCTCAAAAACAAACAAAAACAAAAACCAAACCCAACTTACTGTCAGCAAGAGTGGATCAAATTTTTAGTGAAAACTGTAAGATCGCACAGGTGTTATGCCACTCTATTCCTTTACTAAAGCCAAGCAACCTGAGATGATTTTTAGGAACGTTTTCAAGTGTCTATTTTTGGGCAGAACAATATATTGCTTTTAGTTAATATCCTGTTGGTGCTTTATAGCTGTCCACATCTGCCTGGTAGAACTGCATTTTATCATCCACACTTTTTACCCCACATTTCAAAATTTCTGTTTTCTCCTCCTTTTTATCTACCTTGAAGCAAAAGAATCAATTCAGTATTTACCCTAATGGCTTGCAAAATTTTGACCAGAGAAGTGTCTCTTACCCCCAGGAGATTTACTTACCAGAGGAAATCCAAAATACTAGATTTCAGGTTTATACTTGTTACAAGAGAGTCATGCCACAAAGGAGATACCAGCAGATGCCCTTTATTTTCTCCCAACACCTCCCTCTCCTTCTCCACTTAGAGCTGCATGAGAACTGGGAAGAAGGAGTTTCTCCAGCTTCGTCACTTCTCTTCAGGGATATAGAAAATCTTCACACAAGTTTAGACATCCTTCCCCCTCCCCCCACAAATCTCCTCAAAAAAACAAGTCGTCCGCAGATTCACACAGACCAAAACCAGCTGTATTGGACCATAAAATGGAAAGTTTTGAACTAGTGGCATCTTCAGAGCCTACATAGAATGAACACTGAAATGTCATGTAAAAAGATACAAACCCAAACTACAAATGTATTCTGGAAATTGTTCTTAGTCTCTGATCACCAAAGTCTTAATTGATATTTTCCAGGATTCTGTAAAACTGTTGGCACATATCATGAACCCATGTGTTTTAGCCAGAAAAACTTTATGGCTCTGCACTTGTACTAGGAAATTTCTCTTCTAAGGTTCTGATTTCTGTAGAGATAAACTAGACTGAAAGAATTCTTCATAAAACTCACCCAAGAGAGATCCACAGATATTTTTATCAGCTCAGAAAAATCGACTGTGATACAGAGGCAGTCTAAATTCAGAATTTACAGGTTTTTTTTTCAGAAACTAGACCAGATCTTCTGGGTGTGCCACCTGTCTAGTGACTCAGACGAAGGATCTTTATAAAACTTCTATTTACTTTTCAGCATGACTCTCATAAGAGAAATAATATTTATATTCAGAGAACATTAGAGATTAATCATGGATGAGAGGGCTAGGTCCTGATTTTGGAAAAAAAGTTTTTTTTTTATAGAAATCCTGTTCCTTCTTCCTTTAGCATTGTAATCTCCTCTATCCATGCCTTCTCCATGATAAAAAGGAACTGTTTCTAGAATCTCCTGCTCCAAACAGAAACCAGAAGAGATCTAAGGAAACAGGAATTTACTCCAGATTATCTACTGTCCAGAAAGGCTACAAGAACCTACAATATTTCTCTCCCAGAAAGATGTGACTCAGCTGGTTAAAAAAAATGGGTAATGCTAACAAAAAGATAGTTTGAAAAACAAAGCCCTTCTAATGCTACTGCCCTTCTGCAAAAGGCACCTTTGTTGCATAATATAGGGCATGTCTACACTGCAATTAAAAACCCACAACTGGCCGTGCCATCTGACTTGGGTTCACAGGCCTTGGGCTAAGGGGCTGTTTAATCATGTTGTAGATATTCGGGCTCAGGCTGTAGCCCAAGCTCTGGAACCCTCACAGGTCCTAGAGTCTGGGCTCCAGCCCGAGCCTCTATATCACAGTTAAACAACTCCTCAGCCCAAGCCCTTTAGCCCGAGTCAGCTAGCATGAGTCAGATATGGGTTTTTAATTGCAGTGTATAGTTGATATGCCCCCATTAATGCTTATCAGTTGTCGCTAAGTTTGTCAGAAAAAGCAATGGTATTGCCCCCCATGTGGAAATTTCCACACTACTCAATAAAGCTTTTCCTTAGTTTCCTAGCAGCCTGAGCCAAAGCCCATTCATGTCAATGGAAAGCCTCACAATAACTTCAATCAGCTTTGGCTCAGACCGTTAGGGAGCCGGGGAAAGAACTCTTTTGACTCCTGTTGACTTCAGTGGGCTTCTGGTTCAGGAGTTAAGAATGCAGATAGTGGCTCTCCACAGAGCAGAGTGCAGATAGTGGCCCAAAGAGGAAGCACAGCAAGAATATCCATTGACAATCACACTTTTGTATCTAGATTCCTCAGGATTAATGTTTTATCTTAAGCCATTAGCCAAATGCACAATTTCTCCCAAAAGCATTATCTATATTCATATAGATATATAAGCATAATTATGGTACTCAGCCAATCAATTCCTAATATCTGTTCCTTTCAGTTACCCGTTTTGTTGCTACATATTCAGTAGGAAGGGTAGATACACAAAAGTTCTGATATTTCCATCTTTTCTTCATCAAAGATCAAAGTAGTCTTAAGGCTCTGCCCTAGATTCTTGTCTAACATGGTATCTCTTTTCCATATCAATTAGAAGATGGCTTTTTTAATTTCTGCCCTTATCAACAAAGCTATGTACAGAGCCCTGAAAAGCTACGTCTCTGAGTCATGTTCTTCACTGTGTTCTTTAAGCCACATAATAAAAGGTTCTAAAGTAGTCATTTTCAAATTTACAAAAGGGATTTACAAGCACAAGTTCCACTGAAAGCCAATTAGACTTTTGCTCTGAAATCCTATAGGCACCTTTGAAAATTTCCCCTTATTGTGCTCTTATTGTTCCATGATTGCAAAATGGATATTATCACTTTATCGCACACATCTTCAAAGATGTAGAGCTCCCTGTCCATTTTGTGGGCAGCCAGAAGAGACTCTTTGGTCAAGGAAATGAATAAACACAAATGTGCGCGCTCTCTCAATAGTTTCTACAAGCTCTATATCAGAATGGAAAAAAGAAGTGGTGGCATTGCCCAAGTTCCATCCACAAACCAAGTTCCACACAGCAAGGTTTGCCTCCTTTAGATAACAGAATGAGACACTACTCTCAGTATATTGTGCAGATGTTCAAAATACTACCATGCATCTTCTGCTGGATCCTTGGGCCTGGCTCTCCCTCACTGAGGTACCGGTACACCCATAGGCAGGACTGGATTAAGGCACAGGCAAAATAGGCTCACACCTATTATCCAAGCTCCCAGAGTCATGCAATGGATTTAGAAATCTAAGTTTTCATTTAAAAAAAATGTTTCTAGCCCTCATGGTGACTCACAGACTTTAAGGTCAGAAGGGATTATCGTGATCATCTAGTCTGACCTCCTGCACATTGCAGGTCACAGAACCTCACCCACCCACTCCTGAAATAGACCCCTAACCTCTGGCTGAGTTACTGAAATCCTCAAATCATGATTTAAAGACTTCAAGTTACAGAGAATCCACCATTTACACTAGCTTAAACCTGCAAGTGACCATGCTGCAGAGGAAGGCGAAAAAACCCCAGCCAATCTGACCCAGGGGAAAATTCCTTCCCAACCCCAAATATGGTGATCATTTAGATCCTGAGCATGTGGGCAAGACCCATCAGGCAGATATCTGGGAAAGAATTCTCTGTAGTAACTGAGACCCCCTCTCCATCTAGTGGTTGAAAAGAATAGCTTGAAAATGAGAACCAAGTATAAATGTTGCAGTGATGCCTTCCTGAGTCTGCAGACAGCCTCCGGCAGAGGAGAGAACAGCAGTCACTAAAGACAGAAAGGAATACACCTGGTCCTACCTCCATCCCTGAACAGACCAGGCTCCCACTGTCTGGAGAGGCCCTGGACTAGTTGGGGACGGCTTGGAGGACACCTTGCTGAGCTCTGCAGGAATGGCTTCCCTTTGGTGGGGCTCATTTCCCACCCTGGACTCCCTTCCTCCACTCTGGCCTATTGGCTCCGCAGGGCAGATTGAGAGAAAAAAGTGTTGTAATTCTTTCAAGTACAAACCACTTGTGTTACCAAATCAAATTATATTCACAGTGGATTGTGCACATTTTCATAACATGCTTGTCACTCTTCCATGCGGCGATCGGTAGTGAAATGCTTAACAATGTTGATATTTAAATTATTGTAATTGCGCATTTGAGACACCACCCTACTAAGATGAATGAGGTAGTTCACAATTGTCTGAAATTGTTTTGTCAGTTTATGCTCGGATCATGTTTTCATGATTTTCTTCACAAACATAAAGGCTCTGGGCTCACTTTTTTTTTTTTTTTTTTATTTTTTAAATAAAAGCTCAGATTCTGGAAAACTAGGTGACAGCTTTTTTTAAAAAAGAGTATGAAGTTGCCAGCTTGATGTGATTCTGTCAAATTAAAGCCCTGAACTGTAGACTCATTTTCTTGGCTTTAGCTGCTGGATCATTTGAGGCATAGGATATTTCTTCACTGCCGAAAAAGGCAATTTTTTTTTTACAACAAGATAGCTAACATACATTAATTATCTTGCTGTAAAAACACCTTTTTGGCAGTGAAAACACAGCCATAGAGTGCCATAGCCCTCCTCATGCTTTAGGGATACTCCCCTGGATTCTAATTTTGTTAAGAAAACTCCACAAATTAGTTGGTGTGGGGACTCAAGGGGACAGATTTTATAGATAAGGCTATCTAATGGTCTTCCTTCTGCTTCACCTACTTCTCTGTGTACTGAGGAATTGCTTCTCAGATCACACCAGTCTGCACTGGTGGCAGCTGAATCACTGAAAAGGGAATTTCTTATTTGAGAATTCTTTTCTGTGACTTAGTTACACCAATGCAGACTCCTGCCCTTTAGTAACAATAACATTAAGAGTACCCATGTGGTGTAATACCATTCCAAGTTACAACTCTGAAAATTCTCAAACCAGTAATGAGAAAGAGGGAGGGAGGAAGGGAGAAGGAATCATCCTGCTGGAAAGCATGGAAATCCTTGGTTCCTACTAATTATCATCTGCCTATATGATATGACAGAGAAATATTAGCCATCGATGCACTGGTATTACTGAGTCACAGACAAAAATTACCAGGTAAGAATTGCTCTTTTAGTGACAAAAAATGGGAAAAAATTGCTTTTTACTATTACATATAAGCAATAAGAGGTATATGAAGAGTAATCACTTACTACTTGAAGTAAAGAAAGATACCCAAATCCTACATTATCAAAGTTTACTTTCACGTTTTTCCATCGGGCAGTTTCATTGTTTTTTATGAGTTCCTCGCACTGACTAAAATTGTTGATTCTGTCGACTTCAAACCTTTCATCAGATGTGGTGTTAACACAGTAGTAGAACTTCCCAGCAAACAGATTTACTCCCATGATGCTGAAAATTAGCCAGAATATGAGACAAACGAGAAGCACGTTCATGATGGATGGAATTGCTCCTAAAAGGGCATTCACAACCACCTAGTACACAAATACAGAGGGGAAAAGAAAAGAGTGTAAGAGTACTTACGACAGTAAAATAATTACATTGTTTTACCAATGCTTAATCAATCTAAATTTTTATTAAAAAGCTAATACTAAAAATGTTAATGCAATATGTTAATGACAATAGTGTTACTCTATTCTTTTAAATATTTAAAGTTACCCAGAAGAACAAAAAAAAATTGAGAAAAACTAAAATATCTAAATGAAGAACAAAATAGAAACCTGGTGGTAGTAAGATGAAGTCTTACATTGATGTGCTCTATAAAAAAAAAGAGATAAATGTTAAATATAAATACAGAAAATTAAAATAATCTAAAGATGCAATAAATTATAGTGTGGGCAAACTTAAAAATGATTGGTGGCATGTAGATTTGTTAAATATGCCTGTGAAATTAAAACTGAAAACACAATGCCCAAAATTTAAAAACCAAGAACTACATAAAAAGGATTAATCAAGATTTATATAATATCTTTATTGCCTTATAGATCCATGCATTATTATTACAAAGATTAATTTCTTTGCATAGATAAGCAAGACAGTTTTGCAATATGTGTTTATTTGAATCAACATAGTTTATTTCAAGCTCCAGTCTTGTTTCATTTATTGAGTTTAATTCAGTAAACTTATTTTAAATGAAACAATTTTTAAAAATCAGTGAATGAACAATTCCAAAATCTACAGAGGGAATTTGATAAAAGAAGAGATCAAAAGAGCAAATGCAAAAGAGCACAGAGCTCTTTGAATAGACTAAACAGGGATTAAATTGACTATTAAAATACCTTTAAAAAAGTATCTTCCAAAATAATGCAGGGTTTTAGTTATCAATGAAAAGCTAGATTTCTATCCTGCAAAGCAGTTGCTGGATGGGGGGAAGGGGGGACTTCCTTTGGGAGGAATACATTTGATTTACCACATGAAGTATTATTAATTGCTTACAGTAGGTCTTGTATATTGTAGCAATCCTTAACAAATCATCCAGCAAGTTATCATCCAGAAAATTTGTCCTAGGCTTTGTCTACATGACAAAGTTTTACCAGCATAGCTATTTTGGTTAGGAGTGTGAAAAAAATCATACCCCCTAGATGACAGAGCTATGCCAGCAAAAGCCCTGCTGTAGATGCAGTTATACCAGCAAAAGAGTACTTTGGCAGGATAGTTAATGTTGTTCAGGGAGATGGTTTAACTATACCAGCAAAGGAACTCCTTTGTCAGTATAAGCTGTGTCTCCACTAGGGGACTTTGCCAGCATAACTATACCGGTATAGCTATGCGGGCAAAGTACACACACCCCTAACTACCACCAGCATGTAATGTAGTAGGACAGGGGGAAACTGATGACTGGCTCCTTCCCCTTCTCCTCCTTTGAAGCTCTGAAGCTCCACAGATGAGAGAACTCTCTGCCTCTTGAGGATGAAGTCCTGCAGGGCTTTAAAGACACAGCACTAATCATCTGTGATTTTTAACTCACCCAGTGAGTAGATTTTGATGGGGGATATGGAGTGAGATCCTTGATTTATCTAAGCAATATCAAGATCACACAGGGTTTTCTTTCATTAATTTATAGCTTCTTGCCTACGCTATTCCCTGGAGGCAAGATGTCACAATAGTAATTTACAGTAGAAACATGAGGTTGGTTTTTCTAATATACAGTAAATAACTCATGTGCCTGTCAAAGCTACAAAAAAATTGTGGGGAGTGTGCTTGTCTACACAGCAGAGCAATCACTTCGCCCCTAAATCTGATACTAAATCTACTGATTTATTGTTTATTTGTGATTTGTTTTGAACTCTGGTTTTGCCTCAGCACAGAATACCATATGGGACCTTGTAAGGAGCAGTTGAATCTTAATATATTAAACAAAATTTAATATATGGGCCTGATTCTCAGTGATGCCATTCCTACAGTGGGGTGGGAATGGAATAGGCTGAGGAGGTAGTTTTAGCTGGCTTTAATCTACCTTTGCACTTCCTGTTTTCTGCTCCATGCAGGGGCCTTCCCAGCCCTCTGTGTAGGTAAGAGCAATCTCAGGGCTGCTCAAACTTACTCTCTGTTTCCCAGAGCCCCCTATGAGTCCTGGGAAGCACAGTATAGCCATAGTACAGTACACTCCAGCTACACCCCTGCCAAGCCCCCAGTATGACCCCTATGCCACAGCCTAGGATCAAGACCAGTATAGAGCCCTTACATCAACTTTACACTAGCTGGGCAGGCCCCTGCACACTGGCTATTCTCAGGGGTCTTTTCTGCCTGCTTTAAGGACTCTTTCCATTGACAGCGTGGCATAAAGGGGCATTAATGAAACTGAGAATCCACCCAAATACTCAATCAAAAGTTTAATTTTTAAAAGAGGAATGAATTTCTTCCTTAGTGGCTTCTACTCTTATTGGTAACTTTAAGGGAAGTATGCTTGTGTTCTTAAGATTTCTATAATAGAAAATAAGAAGTTCCTACAAAAATGTCTGTATACTCCAATCAATATTTTCATTTAGTAAAAAGACGGAAGGGGTGACAGTGAGGTTCTGGGCACTGGAAGGCTATTCTCCAGAGACTGAGGAAAGGGCTGTAGGAGACAAGGATTTATTTATCCCATTCAGTAAGAAATGTAAATCGCTTGCTAACTAGGTTGATGAGATTGAGAATAAAATGAAAATTAGAAACGTGTAGAATTCATTTCAAGACTGAGTTGGTCTATGTCACTGTTTATCGCTACATGCTTATCTGAAATTCTAGGTCAGCTGGTGCCTTTGACTTTATTTCTGAATGCAGAATCTCCAGGACATGTTATATTGATCTTTACTCCTCCCTTTAAAATTTTATCTTTGTGTAGAAATCTGAAAACAGAGATATCAAGAGAGGAAGGTGGGGGTTATTTGCATGTCCTATATAAATTAGAAAGAATTGTTTTGTTTTATGAATGTAGTGGTTGTCTCAGGTACTGGATTAACAACAGATCCAGCACAGGCACCAGAATATTAACAACAACAATTATTGTTATAAATAAATACATAATTATTGTTGAAGGAAATTGCTGTCCAGGTATCTCACATCTTCAATTGAGAGGGCAATCCAGTCTCTCTATTCAGACTGCTAAAAAGGAAGACACTTGTTCTTGGAATTAGAACTAAATGGATTCTACCAACTCATTTCATATAGGTCACTGAATAACCATCAAATGGTAACAATTTTTGGTCACTACTGACCTGGATGCGAACTGGTGACCTAGAGATGAAAGGCTCTGTATCCTATTACCAACCCCTTGAGCTATCCAGGCCCCCTGGAAATATTTTTAAGAAAAGAAGAAAAGAAAATTAAACCTTTTAAATGAAGAAAATTAAACCTTTTGGCACCAGTAATGAGCCTTTGCCCTATCCTGCAAAGCTGTCAGACTGGATTCTTCATGCTGCTCCTATGCTTCTGGATCCACTTTTTAATTGCACCTTGTAAAGAGTTCTTTCACATATGCTATGGTAGTAACATGTAGAGTTGGAAACCATTGTTCTTAAATTTTGTCGGGAATGACTGAAATATACTAATATGAGGAGAATCTGGCCAGTGTCTTACACAACTCATTCTATGTTAATATGTGTATGTACTACATGTTTTTGGTAGGAGGGCTGTAAAGTTTTAGATTTGCAGCCCAGTATTTATGAATGTCTTATGTGTAATTTGTGGACACTCCTACAACAGTCACTGCAAATGTAATGAAAAAAATAAGTTAAAAAGAGAAGTGAATATAGTGGAAGCTTCAAGTAACATTTCTTCATCACTTGAACAATTTAACAGAAAAAATAAATTGTCAACCTCTTCTTCTGAGGTACATTTTGCAAGGGGTTAACAGTTTTGAAAAGTATACTTCCTATTAATGCTCTCTCTTCAGAACTAAATCAGACATCACACAGTTATAAAAGATGTTTCTGTTTAAACAAGGGGCTGTCTTACAAGGACTTCAGCTTTTGAGCTGGAGGGGACCATTGCAACACCTAAGGGAGATAGGAATCATAGAACCAGTATCTACAGAAGGGAATTTCCTACTTTATATTCCATACGCTTTGCCCTTTATAAGCAAACAGACGGCAATTCTGGACATCAAGCCTATAAGTAGATGTATGAGGAACAGCAAATTTAAAGTGAAAATTCTGGAATCATTAGCCTGAAAGAGCTCTTCACATCACAAGACAACACAGAAAGCTTTTGAAGATCTACTGCCAAGACAACTTAGAACCAAATTCTTACTTTTCCTGATTTTGAACCAATCAGAAGGATTAGGGATATACTTTCTATTGATAAAGGTTGATTTACTGGTATTAACATTATGAAGAACGATATCACAGATGACTGCCTTTTCAACAGAATACTGCTGAATTTTTCAGCAGAATTAATTTTAAAGGTGATTTTTGCTCCATGCAGTATATGAGAAGATCATAACATTCACAAAATCATAGAAATGTAGGGCTGGAAGGGACTCAAAAGGTCTAGTCTAACCCCCTGCACTGAGGCAGGACCAAGTATACCATTCTTCTGCTTAAATCTATTTTAGGAGAAAGAAGTTCCTTGGAATAATTTGGAAGTGTTGTAGAAAGCCATAAAAGTCTATTTTAAAAGTATTGCAGAATTTAGGAAGTCTTCTTCATTGTTTGTAATAAATTCATCCCACGGACTTAGTTATTATAATAATAATTTTAGAAAACAAAAATTATGCCAGGCATTTTACAAATTCAATTGAAAAGAAATAGTTTCCTGCCTCAACGAAATTACAACCTAATTTTAATTGTGATGAGTGAGAACAATAAACAGGAGGGAGGAGAGGGATGAAGAAGGATGAGGGTTATAACAATAACATCATGTAATTACTCAGTTAAGGGGCATTATGTTGGTAGCTCAATTAAAAGGGTTTTGTTTTTCATTTAAAGCTAATAAATTAATCACTCGCTTCTTGTGGGCATATCCATTAATTTTATCAAAGTTACACCCAGTA